ATTTTCAGTCGCAGCATTGGTAGGATTGAATTTAAAAAAAAAGCTATGAATTACTGAAAAGTAGAAAATAAAACAACTAAATTGCGGCGTATGTTTACGACGCGGGTCAGCTCGTGAAATATTTTATCATTGAACTTGTCTGAAGTAAACATCAAATCAAGGAAGAAACTAACCTTCAGACTTCTGTAAATTTTGTGCACCGTGTCCTTGTCTTTGTGGCAGTAGCTGATGAAGATGTGTTTGTTTGCTGGGGCAAGGACTGCTGTATTATAAGACATACAAAAAACGTTTTTTTTTACAGAACAAAGGACCTCAGCATTAAATGAATAATCTCAGAAAAAATATCACTGGCCAAACTTCCATGAATAAAATATTTTAGGACACAATATCTAAAGGACTGAAGATCTCGGAGACTAAATATCTGACGAAATAATATCTCCAAAAATCTCAATAACAATATTTTTAAGATTACTTAAAGTAATAAGTCCCTGTCTTTCGTTGCTCAATTATTCCGTCTCTGAATAAATCGTTTTACTATCTTTAAATTTTTTATTACAACTCCCCCCACTCTAACACACACATCTCTATTTAACAATATAAAAGCTGTATTGTTTTTTTTCTTCTGAAAAACAACTTGTTTGAAATTTTAATGGAAAAAAAAGATTTTATTTCGTATTTAAATAGTAATTTGTTTCAGTTTCCTGGTTGCGTATACAGTAGGTTCATATATGTTTATGTCACAGTAAACTTATTTTGCGTATAATTTGTAAATGTAATTTGTAAATATGAGTTTCAATCAATATCTCTGTTATCATGGCATGTAGGGGGTATGTTGTGCTCAGGTTTTACACCCACGTGTTTCTTGTTTTAACGATACACTAATCAGACAGGTATGATAATCCCACTGATAAAGGTTTGTAGCGAATTGCGTCGTGAATGTGGGTCTGGGGTTGAAGATTACGTGCAAATGTGATCTGATTGGTTAAAAATAAACTTCCCGAATTGAAAATTAATGTATGGTATCACATTTCTCTTGTTAAAATAGGAACACTATTTTTACTTTCTCGTATACAAAGTATAGAGGAAGTATTGTAATCGTGCAAAAAATCGAAATCAAGATTTTAAAATTCAAAATCTAAATATGTAACAACAAATAAAAATAGAGTAATGGTCATTTCGAAAACTAATTTTCGAAATTACAATATCTATATATATAATTCTCTTCTGGGAGCCGTTAGAAAACAAGCTGCAAAGCGCGCCTTACAGTCCCCTCTCTTCCTCTCTATCGCTACCAACCCCCCCCCCCCCCCACCCCCACCCCCTCACATGGTATGGTGAGCTGTGGTTTACGCTGTTTACATTTTACAATCATAGAGACGGGTTTGGTGACGGCTATTAGGGGCAGATAATTTAGTTTGAAACGATTTTAAACTTAGAGGAGGTAAGTAAGAGGAGGCTGCTTTCACGTGGGGAGGGAGGAAGGGGGGGGGAGGTTAGTGTTTTTAAGCAAATATTTTCAGTGGCAAAATTGGTACTGTCGAATTCACAAATTATAAATCACTGAAAAGTAGAAAAAACAACAACTAAATAGCGGCGGATGATACGCAGCGGGTCGTCTCGTATCCTATATTCTCGTTATATGAAATCTAAAAGTTTATGAACTAATAAAAAATAACACGCATACACGCATACATGCATATGCCTACCTACACATACACGATTTCAAAAGCTAAGTTTTTGCGACCAAGGAATGTGTAATAATCGAGATTAAAAGTTTTCTTCTATACCCTTTATACAACAACTATAATGGAGCCTATGTTTTTGTTAACTTTCATAAAAGTAAAACTACCAAAACTTTTTTAAGACTGCGCGTTTTTTTTTGTGTTATCTTTTAACGTCATTTTACGTAAAATCTTTACATTTTCTTGAATACATAGCTGTTTCCATGAGTTTTACAGTATCTTGTAATCTAAGCTAATATAAAATATAAGGGACGGCGTCGCCTAGCACTAGACAGTTAATTCAAAAGTCTCGTGTTCGAATCCGAGTCAAGTCAGTGGAAAGTCACTTAGTCCATCCAGCTCTAATGGGTGCCTAAATCAAGTTAGGGAAAGTAAAAGCGGCTGGGCATAGTGATGACCAAATATGCCGATGTCACACAAACAGGTGAACTCTACTTCAGTTGCTCATGGATCGTCAGGTTCAAAAAGAGAACTTTAACATAAAACAACATTTAGCAAACATAAAACTAATACCACAAACATAAAACATAATACCAAAAAAATAAAACAATACAAAAAACGTAAAACTAATACTACAAACATAAAACATAATACAATGCATTGTGCTTATAATAAAAAAACCTATTGAACACACATTGAGGAAATGAACTGTGGTTTCAACGCTTCCTCAAATCAATACATTTTTGTTATGACTTATCGATCAGACAAATCTCATTATAATTCCATAAAGGCTGAGACGTGGGATTATAAAGTGGTAAGAATAGATCTATAGCCAAGTGTTAGATGGGTAGTTGAGATATACCGACGTAATGTTAAACAGAATGAGGTGAATAAACCGCTGAAATTCATAAGGTTGCATAAACTTTGTTACATTGATTACAGTCTTCAAGTAGGTACGCAATTTAGAGGGTTACCAAATTACTATGATGTACAAAGTGAGATGGTAAAATACATTAAAGATTAGCTACATTATTAGAAGGAAACTAAGATATAATGAATATGCAAGTTACTAGATGTTACTTTAGGTACTAAAGGTTAATGAAATATACATTTAGGTCCTCGATCTAATAGAAGATATTTACTAGAAAGTGCCTAAATTATGATTGGGTATCCAAAATACTGTCGGGTGCCTATTCTAAATAAAGATACCCAATCGACCAAACAGTACCAGCTTGTGGTAACTTTTTAGAAGATACCAAGCTGAGTATGTGGTTATCAAATTCAGCAGTGGAACTCTAAATATCAATTATATAAACAGCTACCTAATTTATGTTATACGAAAAATCATTATAAAGAACTATAAGCAGGATATCATTGTAGGCTGTTTATTGACTATCACTCAGCCATCTCGCCAACATTTCCGTTGATTGGTCTAAGTAGCCTTGACCTTATCCAAAGTAAAAGTAAAGTTCCTGATGGTGTATGAGTGAAGTAGAATTCACATGTTTCTGTGACCTCGACATTTGAAAGGACCTTACCTAACGTATTCACAAACCTTGCTTAAATTAAAGTCAATATTAACATCTTTGAGAAAAAAAATATGCTACATTACGTACCTCTCGCATCATCGACCTCCTTTCTGTTGTTAAAAGCATTAGCCAGTTTGTTCGTGTCTGAATGTAGGCCTTTGACGAGAGAAGCGATAGCTCCGCCCTTAGTGGGAATCTGATGATAGATTTCGATTTTAAGTGTTTTAAACACAAGTATTTTGACCATTTGTGATGTGACTACAGGTACTTGACCATAGGTGATGTGACATTGGTACTTTGACCATAGGTAATGTGACCACAGGTAATTTGACCATAGGTAATGTGACAAAAGTACTTTGACCAAAGGTGATTTGCCCACAGAAATTTTGACCATAGCTGAAGGTACTTTGACTATTGGTGGATTGACCTTAGGTGGTTAACTCCCCGCTGTGGACAAACCACCTGTGGTCAAACCACATATGATAAAACGCTCAGTGGTCAAACCAGCTTTGGTTGATTTCCGCGCACCTAGAATCGTTAGGATTATATAAATCATAGATAATCTAAACAAGCGTATTAGTATGAATTATGGATGAATTATTGAAGCTTAGCCGTGCTGGCCTGGATATTAACTTTAGTAAATTTAATGCAATTTGATTTTAGTGTTCGAGAGTTCAATATCATTGAAAGTTAAATTTTTTACAAAAAGTCAAGAATTTCTCTCAGCATCTCAACTCTTTTCGTTTTGGACATACAAAACGGCTAAGTATTTCTAAAACGTGATGTAAATCGACACAAAATCAAAGTGAACTTCATGCATATGAAAGCGCTTTTTAAAAAATATTATAGATTATTTGATCATATAAGTTATCTAATTAGTTTTAACAAAAACTGATATTGTAATGAAAATGCCGCGTCATGTATAACATAGTAAACTCATCCATAACAACAATACGGCGAACAAGTATTTGGTAAAATGTAAATTTTAAGCAGGTAACATACACAGAAAAACCTCCATATTTATGTCATACGTCTTACCTTTTTATTAGCCATATAAACAACACATCAAAACGTGCAAGATTTCATCTCTGGAAAGACTAACGAAAAAATCAACGTCAGCACTTAAACGATCGTATTCAATGGTGTCTACATTTAAAGCTTAATACTTAGAAGACAGCTGGGATTACCCCAGGTAAATATACTCGTATATTGTTGCAGGGTTTAAGAAGGCCAGGGTACCTATGTCTTACTGGGTCGACACACCTGGATAGATTTATCGATCTGTTTTTTTTTAATATTCTGTGAAGGTTTTGGTATATAGATCCGTGTTGAGATCACGTGACATTTCTGCTACGTTGTGTTTGAGAAGATCCGGTTGGCTGCAGGGTCAAAGAGAAAGGGCCTTTGACACTTTTTATCCGACCCAACCCCCCCCCCCCCCCCCCCAAACCCCGCACAATTTAGGAAATACTAATCACATAAAGCTACATAGTAAAATACATTACATTAAGTTATTTGAGAATTTAATCTTCTCGTTTTTGTGCGGAAGACAACTGGGTCCCGCCACAGAAAGCTACCTCCACTTTGATCTGTCTCTGGCAACTGTCCAGGCAGTCCCCCATGACAGTCTCGCCTCTGCCAGCTGCTTGCAAAATGTCAACATTAATAACAGATTGATGTTTTCTAAACATGCAAACAATTTACGCTTAAAGGAAAATAAAATTCAAATTAAATATACTGAAATTTTAAAAATTGTTTTATGTTGAATTGTATGCAAATAATTGTAACGAATTGTACGTATTTAATAAGAAAAATAAAGAAACACAAAGTTCCACATTGAGAATAAAGTAAAAAAAATAATTATTATGTGCATAATTATGCATTTCTTTTTCTTGCTTTTTGAAGATTCCATCTTGATCACAATTTTTAGTTGACGAATTTGTCTGTAGTTTAACCATAATGAATTAATTCTTTTTGACAATTCTTCCCACAATAACTCACTGTAAGATCCTAGTCCATGTTTAAGGGTAATTCTCTAGTCATTATCCGAGGTATAAGTATTTGGCAATAATGAGTTTAACTCAATCAGATGTATTTCGTTTGGCAGTTAATACTTTACAGGTGAATTAGCATCGCCCAAAAAAGGCTGATTTCCTCCATGTAGCATTTTGTCTACTATTTATTAACAATATACACGTTGAAAAATTCTAAATCGGGATAAATTGGTTTGTTGGTTGGTATGTGGTTTCTTGATTAGTTACCTGTAAAACTGATGATAAAGTACAGTTTAAAAATCAAACAATTATATTTTTGTTTTGTTTTATAAGTTGTTGTGATTTCTTTATTTTTTCTTCTTTACAATTTACACGAGTCACGTCAGAAAAAAAATACAAATACAGTGTTAGTTACGATTCCTTTACTTTTAAAATAATAACCCTACATAATCAAACACAAAAAACATTGTGAGATGTTTGTAAAATAAAATGACAAAATAAAAGTAGGAGTTATATCCCTTTGATAATCAGGTTTTTTTCTGAGTCAAAAACAAACAACAAGCGATAGACAACACACAGAGCAGTGGCGTACGCAAGGGGGGAGGGGGGGTTAGGACCCATATATATATATATATATATATATATATATATATATATGATTGTAGCATATGGAAACATGTTTGAACCCTCCCATGACCAATTCCTCGCTACGCCACTGACACAGAGTTCTTAAAATAATAAATCAGTAACTGTCTCTAACAGAATTGTATATCAGCAGGTCAATAGGGCTGGTAAGTAGGTCACCAACTAGTTCTATGGCTCATGCAGGTTTTATTGAGCCGTAGAACTGGTTGGTGACCTACTTACCAGCTCTATATAGATGCGAATCTTTATATCGGTGGTTCTCTTTTTTTTTTTTTTTTTGCAGGATTTTAGATCTGAATGTGTTTATTCACTCAGGTATTTTATACTTTCATGTCTTTATATCAGCCAGTTATTCTATCTGTAAATTTTTAATGATAATAATAGAGCGCCCGACACTTGGACCCACGTTAATAAGGACATGAACTGTCACTGTAGAAACCAGAGGCGTAGCGGGCGGGGGGTACATATGTCCCCGGACGTCGACCTAAGGGGGCGCCAAGATGGGTTGGAAAACAAATTAAAATAACATTTTAGCTGCATGATTGCATTATAAATATAAACATATATAATATTTGTATATAAATAAAGTTTGAGAATAGGGGAAGAGGGGGTGCAAATCAAAAGTTTGGGGGGCTGCAAATTGAAAGTTTGAAGGTGGGGGGTGCAAATGGAAAGTTTGAAGGGGGGTGCAAATTGAAAATTAAAGGTTGCTCCAGAGGGGGGGGGGCGCCAAGTTGAAAGTTTGTCCCCGGGCGCCGAGAAGGGTCGCTACGCCTCTGGTAGGAACCCCAGATGTCAAGATAAAATATATTTAGCGTTGTTGAGTGAATCTTTTTTTTTTGTGATATATTTACACGAACTTTTATTGTTGGTGTCCGACTATCTGAGTAATAATAACATGGACAATGAATGGTTGGCGAGTATAAAAAATGAATTTTAAGACATTATTTTAAGTTTGTTTTCTTAGTTACGGGGAACAACTCCTACCAACTCCTAACGGATCATTATATTCAGCTTGTTACCTCCCATTATATGATACATAATAATTTTTTTGTAATTTTATACACATTGCGGCAATGAATATTTAACGGCAATAGGATAGAGGTGTATGCACGGAGGGGGGAGGGGGGGTCAGTGGAAATTGTCGTTTACCCTGTGACCATTTTTAAGATAGCGATGCCTTTGCAAGGGTTACTTCAAATAACATTAAAACAACTTCGAGCAACAAAAACTTACAGAAAGTACAATTTTGACATTTTTTACAACAATATGGTAAAATGTATTGTATGTAAACACCTAATTTTTTTAATGGCCTTATACCATAGGCCGAACTAGGAACCCCCCCCCCCCGCCCCCCGCAAAAAAAACTAGTCTGTCTTTAATGCTATGCGAGGTCTGGCGGCATTTTAGTTCCGCCCCGTCTTTAATGCTACTGTCTGTATAAACCTCAAAGTAAGGTTTATTGTCCAGGGCCTTTATGTCTATAGTATGCAGGGAGAATATCCAGTTGGCTATTGTCTGGAGGTTAACGCGCGGGGGTAAGGAGGGGGGGGGGGGTTGTCCAAGGGTTTGATGTCGTGAACTGTCATTTCTGGTTCTAGCCAACACTTCAAATGAATGTTTTAATATCAGTAAAATAAAATAAAAGCATACCTCAAAGACTTCAACTGTAACGTGAGTATTTTCAGATTAAATTAAAGACGATTTTATGAGCGGACCTACCAAAATAAAATATATCAAATGAAGTTTTTATTGCATTTACATTTACATCATGGAGTACAACATTTAGATCTACATTGTGAATTATCACAGTTACATTTAAACAGTGAATTATCATGTGTATATTTACGTCATGAAATATCACATATAGATCTACATCGTGAAGTATCACATTTAGATTGAAATATTACTCACACTACCCCTCCTCCATTAGGAAATGCTATGGCTGGATGCAGATGTTAAATAAAAAAATTGAACAATTCGGTAAATATGTCCCTAGCGAATGGATAAACAAATAGAGAAAAAAATGTGTAATACACAAAGTAAGATCACACATATCACACTACGACAAACTATTTCTATGAACGAACAACTTTTTCTAATTGCATTTACTTCCCTTAAGTTGTTGACAGTGTTTAACATTACTAAGGTTAAATGTTACGACTTTACTTCGTCTTGATTTTTTTCGATGGTACTGCGCATGCGTGTGTTTACAAACAAACCGCGGAACTCTATTGCTATCCCTAGCCCTAACGATAACCCTAACCCTAACACTAACCCTAACCCTAACCCTAACCCTAACCCAAACCCAAGCCCTAGCCCTAGCTCTAACCCTAACCCTAACCCTAACCCTAACTCTAACCCTAGCCCTAACCCTAACCCTAACCCTAACCCTAACCCTAACCCTAACCCTAACCCTAACCCTAACCCTAACCCTAACCCTAACCCTAACCTTAACCCTAACCCTAACCCTAACCCTAACCCTAACCCAAACCCTAACCCTAGCCCTAACTAACCCTAGCCCTAATCCTAACCCTAGCCCTAACTAACCCTAGCCTTAACCCTAACCCTAACACTAGCTCAGCTATTAAGGTCACTGCGCATGCGCAGAACTACCTTTTGCTGACCAAATGGAGACGCTAGGGCGAAAATCTTCGAAATGTTATACGTCATTCCGTCACTGTTTAGCAACATATTTGAAAACAAGTAAATAGTGAGCAACCGGAAAATGTTACAAGCTTTTTCGATTTGTAAACTTTTAAATACAATTTATCTCCCTTTTGTAGTTCTAGAACTGTTACAAGTGACCCTTGCGTGACGTCAAAACTAACCCTAACACTAGTTATAACATCTTCTGTGTATTTGTCACCGTGAAAGCCAGAGGTCTTGTCTGTACGATTTGTCGGTGTTGCTGGTTCTTGTGTTTTTGATGTCTTGGTTTTTGTGGACAAACGTTTGCGGTATAGGGCGATTATTGCTTTACCATTGACCAAAGCATCTAGGTTAAAACTGATACAGTAAAGTCCATCTGTGGGTACTGTAAACTTTCCAGTCTTTGGTTTAAAACATCCGCCAGTATTACATAACACATTGCCGAATTTTGAAATAACATCTCCAGTGATGAGGGATAACTCGTGTTGTATGGAGGCACTGAACGCAACACCAGATCTTCGATACTTGATGTCTGTAATAGGTTAATAGACTATCAAGTTTACATGTCATCATAAATACCCAAGTGTTGATAAAGTTAAATGTAAATATTGGCTTCAATCACTCACGAGCATAAGAACTCCCAAAATATAAGATACATGGTGTATTCTAATATAATTTAGCTGTCTAATATAACCATCCCCATTCGTACCAATATACATATATTACATAATTTATTTTACATGTTTTAGTGATGTTACAAATAACTACCTACCTAATGTGTTTTGTTTATCAAGTAGCTGAAAAGAATAGGTGTAAAAACAGTAAAAATGAATTATGTCAACAAAAAAGTGTACAAAATGAGTTTAACCGTATAGGACAACTTATTCATGTTTGCTATGATTTAAATATGTGTATGATCATCTTGATGATTTTAACTTGTAGCGACTAAATTAAGTTGTTCATAGTTACTGTTCACATTTTTTATGTGCTATCATACACTTGAACATTAGGAATGAAAGAGATCATTAATGGTTCATAATTTGAAATGGTATCTTATAGGTCTAGTATCGGGAAATTTAAAATAAAGCAAAACTTGTATTTTAAAAACTCCTGCATACACCTTCTAATTAAAATAGATTTTAATCTAAGCTTGTTGTGTGTATTGATACAATTAAACAGGGTTTAAGCAACCAAATCCCCTACATGTTTGCTACTGAATGAAACACTTTCATAACACATGATTTTAACTTTGTAGCCCTACAATCTATACAAGTTGAACTATTTATTGATAAATTTTAGTGAGACATTAAACAATATTTAACTAAAGTAGGGGTATAAAAGTACTGAATAAAGAAAAAAAAATTCTATTGTAAATTGCCCGTGTATCAAATATTTCTCACCAAACTTGCTGCCTGTTTTGTCCTGGACAACATTTGTGCTGGATATTGGTGGGTTGATGGAGGAAATGTTGGCTTCTCTCTGTCCTGAACTTTCTGATCTATTCAGGTGGGCATCTTATGTAGAGATACTTCATCGTTACGTTACCATAATATATAATAATAATGTACATACTTCAATTTTATTCACGTTGTTTTAAGTCAATTTATTTTTATTATTCTATAAAAATATATTTTACATAGTAAAATTTAGGTTGTTATAAATATCCACTAACAAATTTGTATCAATAATCTAAAATGCTTGTATCTACATTAAGAGATGGTATTGAGATGGTATTGAGAATATTTTAACCTCAACACTAAAACATAGACCAGAATAACCACCAAATGGCAGTAAAGAAACACAATATCGAGTCAAGTTATTGGGCTTATTGGTCTGCTAGCATTAAACTAAAAGCTAAAACAATAATGGATGTTGACAGCTAATTGGGGTCGGCGTGGTTAAGTCGGTAAAGTACATGGTTGCTAAACCGAAAAGTCTCGAGTTCGAACCCTCGGGCAGATGAGGCTCTTTAGCTGGGGATAGCTACTTTTCTAGGAGAGACAACTATAAAATCAAATAACTGCTGCCTGTAGTTTGTTCTTGGTTGCACAAAGGCTATGGAAGTCAATGGCCTCAATAGTGCATAATCAGACGACACGTATACTGAATTGTGTTGGAGGGTATCCCTTCCGAAACTAAAATTAAGTCCGACGAAAGAAGAAGACAGATAATTTACAGGTTTACATTAGAAAAAAACAAGAAAAGTATTAACTGCACACTCCAGTATCTAACAACGCCGACATTTGTTCTCGTATTGAACTAGTTATGTCCTCCAGTTCTAACATCATTTCTTTAAAAGTTCTCCTGTCATCGTCTTTTAGCCAGCTTTGGCATCCAAAAATTATCTGTAATTAGAGAAGTAATTAACAATGTATAACTGGTTTTCTAATTAGTATTATTAAATTAGATAATTATGTACATTACAAGTGAATATAATTCTTTTAATAAATGAACTTCCGTGTTTGCCTTACATGATTTAAGTCGATTGATAACGGATTTATAACATCTCTGAGACTTTCCAGATGTTTTAGAAGAGGTGAAATAGTTTGTACTTGGTACAATGGTCGCATCTGGTGAAATAAATACATACAGTCTTATGTTTAGAACTAGACATTGTCGATACGTGTGATCGAATGTTATTTTGTTTTTACACGGCTAACCCTTATCCATCCGCTAATTGTTAATTTTTCTTTTCTTGTATTATGTTGGTCAAATATTATTATTATTAATTATTATTTTTGTAATTAGACTTACATTTTAAATAGAGAAAAGACTAGTAGCTTTTTAGGGTTACGTGGGAAATAGAGTGTCGAATTTTAAATTTAAGATTTTTTCAGTCTCAGTGGAAAGAGAGAGCTAGAGGGAGAGGGATTCCATCCTTTCATGTAATTAGAGGAATAAAGGTGGGGTATAAGTTTGATCATGCGAGGGAAAAGAGGAGGATGGAGGAGGGTTAGATTTTGTGTGAGGGGATGATATATATACATATATATATATATATATATAAATATATATATATATATATATATATATATATATATATATATATATATATATATATATATAAAGATAGATAGATAGATATATACACACAAAAATACATTTTTGTCGCTAATCGAAATGAATATCGAAACAAGTGTCGACGTTGTTGGGCCCGTAAATCTCGCGGTTATTACACAAAAAAGTCCCGAGTTCAAACCCTAGACTGACGAGGCTCGAAAGCTGGAGACATTAGCCAATCTTGGTAACTCCAAAATTGGTAACTACAACTGCTGTCTTGTAGTTTGTTGTGGGGTAGACAAAGGCTATGTAAGCAATCCAGAAAAAAACAAAACAGGGTGAAATCGGAGTCATATGGGGCATACCGTGTTGACACGTAATACTTAATAATGCTATAGAAAGTCTCTTCGTACATATTACTTAAGAACGAAGAAAAATAAATGAATATTCAATTAGAAATATTACAATATTTAACCTTTGAGTAAATCGAATCCTACCTTTATGTGTACACAATGTGTCGCTAGATTTGATGTAAACAATGGGCAGTAGACACGGATGTTGGGAACGTAATCTTAACTTTTTTTTACAAGCTTTTGCACACGCTACAATTACGAAAACAACTTCACTTTCTATTTTAAAGAACTAATATTCTTACATTTTGTCAGTAGGTGTCTTTAATGAATGTCAACAGATGTATCCTGTTTGAAAATATAAACACAAATACAGAAGATTAAGCACACACATATATAGATACAAACACACATAAAACACAAAAACACGCACCAACACACCTAGACTAAACTACTCATACACATTACCATACTCATATAAAAATAATCACCTTTCCGTTTTCTTTTCTTTCAAGAATTTCACAAATTTTAAAATTAAGATTTCTGTAATCTATACGTTAGAATAAAAACGAACTAAAATCAAATAGACACTCCAACAAAACTCTATGTAGTTATACAAGATGATTTAATCCTATTGCTTTCTCATCCTAACCTTCAACTGCCCTCCGACACAACTCCTTTCTATCACTAGCAACACAGCCGCTATCACTCGACCATCGCTTCCTTTGTACCCTCGTTCACTCCTTACAACAACATACACTTACACGTCAACACACCCGGCCTCGCGTCTGGCTACAGGATACACACACACACACATGCAGTGATCCGTCCATGCATTCACCTTTCATACACATTACGTCAACACACTAAATTCTTATGAACTATTGTAGAGTGGGACGGAGTGGTCTAGCGGTAGAGAGCTGGACTGCTAACCCGTTAGTCTCGATATCGAATCCGGGTTCAAGTCAGTAGACCGTCCCTGAGTTCACCCAGCTCTGATGGGTACCTAACTCACGTAAGGAAAGTAAAGGCGGCTGGGCATAGTGCTGACCACACTAGCTCTGCATATGCCGAGGTCACAGAAACAAGTGAACTCTACTTCACTTGCCCCATAGACCGTCAGGTTTGAACGGGAAACTTTACTTTTTTTTTTTTATTGTAGAGTATTCCAAAATAATAGAGATAAAAATAAGGGAAGAATGAAATTATAAAAAGTTAACAGTTGCATTTAATAAAGATATGAAAGTAACGTTTTTTTCTATTCTAGTTAAACTTTCCAAACAATTTTGATCGACATAACTACAAGTTGCCTCCGATTTATTATAACAGTTGTATTTGCTTAAAAATTAATGTTTAATGTGAAACCTCACAAAACATGTCATGTTTTTACGCTTTGTAGTTTTTGATATTGTTGTGTGAATATTTTGTAGAAATGTAAAATCATAATGAAAATTTAGAAAATAACACGATATTTATTCACTTTGACTGTATGCTGATAAGTACGTTAAATCTTGCCGGCAGTTTTCACTACAAACAATGTATGTGATCTATGCCGTGTAGACTGGTTTAACTTTCATATGTTGTTGACGGACATGTCATACCTATAGTGTATGCAGCACGCAAAATGTTTCATACACGCCGTATATGGTAAACCAGCTAATCTACGCCATCAGAATGGGTTGTATCGAACACGTGACACTTAGCAGCTGTATGCAGCAAGTAACTCGGTGCAAGTGTAGTCAACCGTGGACAGTTCTAAAAATAGTAACAGGTAAAATCCTGTTTTTTCAATATCTAGTAGTGTTTCTCAAACTTGTTCACCCTACCGTCCCCTTTTTATAGTAAATATAATCCAACTCAAACACACACACACACACACACACACACACACACACATATATATATATATATATATATATATATATATATATATATATATATATATATATATATATATATATATATTTATATATATATATTTATATATATATATATATATATATAAAATTACATATATATAATTACATATATATAAAATTATATATATATAAATATAATTATATTCATCTATCTATCTATCTATCTATCTAAATATATATATATATATATATATATATATATATATATATATATATATATATATATATATATATATATATATATATATATATATATATATATATATATAGGCCTATATATATATATATATATATATATATATATATATATATATATATATATATATATATATATATATATATATATATATATATATATAACATGTAAATTAATTTTAAGATACTTAGTAACTTGAATGTAAGGCGTTGAAAAACATTTAGACTAACAATCGATTTGCACATCAAAACAAAATCATAAAGTTTACGAAGAATAAAATTTATGTTGTAATGTCAACGCCAATTCCCATTTGACCACTGAAATGACACTCGGTAGGTCAATCGATTCGTCCTTGAAACGTCCACCCCACCCTCAACGATTTTTATTTAACAACCTCCAAATATACCAGAATATTCTATCGCACCCCTTCGACCTTTCCACAGAGGATGATATCGAACACTTTGGGAACCACTAATCTATACAATCGTGTTGGGCGCTGAAGGTTAACCCTGGTGACGTCTGTTCAAGCAAGCGATCACATCCGTGTTGAGACCTGGTCTACAACATTCCACACAACAAGCCTTTAGTGGTAGAATACAAATGTTGACACGGTGCACGAAAATCAGAAAATAAAACCGGGAGTGATCTCCCATAAACTTTCTCGAATATTCTTATATAAATCTACGGGCGATTGCAACTAGGGATAAAGACAATATTTCCAATCCATTTTTAATTACTTAAACTTTTTAAAATAGAATAGAATCGCATAGGAAAAAAGAATCGCGCACCAAGTGCACGCCAAACAATCTGTGTATAATAGTGCGGAATATTATTAGTACTTTATAAATTCACATGCAATTTTTAAGAAATCGGAAATAGCGTAAATTATTATTTCCGGTCAACGAAAATTACTCAACATTTGACATAGATATAGACATGATTTTTATTTCATTTTTTAATTACTAAAACTTTTTAAATTAGAATAGAATCTCGTAGAAAAAAAAATGCGCAACAAATGAAAGGTAAACATTATGTGTATAATAGTGCGGAAAATTATTAGTACTTTATAAATTCACACGCGCTTTTTGAGAAATCAAAAATTGCGTAAATTACTACTTCCGTTCAACAGAATTTTTTCAAAATTTGATAGAAGGCAGAGAAGTAGATCTGTTACTTACAAGTGAAATTTTATTCAGCTATCTGAAACAGTACTCAAATTATAGGCTTTTGAGAAATTGAAACTAGTATAAGTTCCACATTCGGTTATCGGAAATAGCTTTTTCCGATTTCTCTAAAAACGCGTATAAATTTATTAAGTACCAATGTTCCGCTCTATTATACACACATTGCTGCAGTTCACATAGTGCGTAATTCTTTTCTCTACGAGATTATGACTATTTTTAAAACTTTAAGTATGTAAAAATAAATTTAAAAACATGTTTATATCCCGAGTTACCCTCCCCCGTATTGTTATATAAGAATACTCAAGAAAGTTTAGGGGAGATCACTCCCGCTTTATTTAGTAAACCAAACACTGAAATGGTCGAGTTATCCCACTTTAATTGTGAGATTCGACAAATAGCTGGTCAGTAACGATGTTCTATCGGCGTGCGTGGAAGGGTTGTTCTTGTGAAGGCCCATGTGTTTGTGTGTTCCCATGTGTTGTGTTTGTGTGTTCCCATGTGTTGTGTATGTGAGCGCTCATATCTTATGTAATGTTTGCTCATGTCTTCTATAGCTTTGTACTCAGGTGTTTGGTAGATTCGTGCTGAGTTGTTGTTTTTTTTTTTACATATAAACTAGCGTACCCGCCCCGCGCGTTGCCGCGGGAATAGAAGATAGTCTGACGAAATATATAAGCAGGGTTTCATCCATGCGTTACCAATTCTATATTCTTAGTCGTGTGACATTGTTTTCGGAAAGTGAGTTATTTAAATGTAAACAATGCCTGCGCTTGGATCATACATATCGGGACACGGGTTTACCTACACTATCGCATGGAAACTTTCAGCGTACGTTAATCACTCACCGAAATAATCAGGTAGAACACACTCCAGTGACCGCCCATGTGTCCGGGACGTAGAGGGGGGCTCTAGAGGGGCCCCCCGATTAAACTACCGCAGAGGCGCCGCGTAGGGCCCCTGGCTCTTTAAAACATAGCATTGCCGCCATAGTGCTCACAGGATAACCAAGAGCACCACATAGCATCCTGAAACAATGATACATATTGCGTCATTCGCTAGTGACACAAATCAACAGGGTTTTTTCATTAACACATAGAATTTTTTTTTTGACGTGTTATTAACATCAGTGTGATTGATGCAATTTGTTAGCGTTACTAACGGTGTATTATTAGAAGCTCGATCTGATTAGATCGTCTAAAAATAGATGCTAATTGCATCATTCGCAAAGTGACGAAACTATTTGGATTTCTTTACGAAAAAAAGGAAACAACCCAATTCTAATCTAATCTTGGTTAATTTTTCTGATCATTTAAAATAATATATTACAGAGCGCTCCGCGACCCATGTGAGCCTTTAGAGGCCGAAACTGAAATGTTTGTTCGCTGCCAAATCGCACCCCATCAGTGCGCCGGCGGACACGCCTGATTCAATTAAGTGAGCGACTATAAGGCCCCCACATTATCTATTGTCTATCACACAGTTTAGACCGAACGCAGTCGCCATAGCGCTCACGGGAAAGACCAGGGCGCCAAATCGCATCCTGCAGGGGGCCGCTCGTGCAAAATAAAATCTCCCCCCCCCCCCACGAGAATCCATCTCGGAAGTATTCATCAACTGTTTAAAGTTTTATGGCACTCTGATAAACGGTGAGAACCGCATCCGACTATAATTTTTTAAATTTATCGTAGATAATAATCACATCCTCCCGGGACGCCGCCCTTGCGAATTTAAAAATGATTTTTTTACATACACCTCACTTGTAGTGTTATGATCTGCCCCCTAAAAATTGATGGCGATCGGATGAACGTTGTGAAACTTCAATCGACTTTTATTGTTATAAACCGTATATACAGAAAAATCGCACCCTCCCGGGGCGCCGCCCTTGCGAAAATAATTTTTTTTTCACAGAACGTTTTCCTGCAGTTTTCTAATCAGCTCACCAAAGTTTGATGGCGATCGAATGAACTGTGTGAAACCGCAATCGACTTTTATTTGTATATACAGTATATAGAGAAAATCGAATCGCGCCCTGCCGGGACACCACCCCTGCGAATTTGAAAACCTTTTTTTTCGTAAAAAGAACTGCCTATGTGTATTTTCAACAACTTACCAAATGTTCATGGCAAATGGGTTAAAGGTATAAAATGCATAACGACGAAAAACTTCTACCGAACCCCCCCCCCCCCCCCCCCGAACGAAATAGAATTTATATAGAAAATGTATACTTATATCAGAGTCCGCCTTTCCGCGGAAATTTTAGCCAGCCGCTCGAAAATTTCAAGTGCCACCCCCTATTTGGGATTAAAAGTCTGGAAGAAACACTGCACTACATCATGTAGTATA